GCTTTTCCGCCTTTTCGGCTTCCCGACGCTCCAAGACGGCCAAAGAGGCCCCAAAGACAGCCCCAAGATGGCCCAAGAGGCCCCCAAGACGGCCTCCAGACGGCCCAAGACGGCCCCAACACGGCCCAAGAGGTCCCCAAGACGGCCCAAGAGGGCTCCAAGACGGCACCAAGAGGGGCCCAAGAGGGCGACCAAACATGTTGAAACTCTAGCTTTCTGCCCCCAGGAGCCCCAGGGGGCCCCAAGAGTGCCCCAAGAGGCCCCCAGAGGCCCTCCAGGAGGCCCTCACGCCCCAAGGAACCCCCAAGAAGCACCCCAGAGGCTCCGAAACGGCCCCCAAGTGGCTCCAAAACTCGCGGTGTCGCCGTCCGCTCGGACCCCCCCGCGGAACTGCCCGAGACCCTCTGGCGGTGGCGGCGAACAGACACCAAACAAATATCACTCGCCTTTTCACCCCTTCGCAGCTTCTACTACCCCCAGATTGGCATAAACAAGGGGTCGGCGGTGTGGCGTAAGCCTAAGAATCATGGGTTAAGAAATTCATAGTCTCAGAACTTGAATAAAAACCCAGAATTTCCATTGAAATCTTAGGATTTACATTGAAACATTAAGAATAATCGAGACTCTGGCCAAAAACTGAAGTTTTCTTAAGCATCGCCTAGGGTGTACTCCAGATGAAAGACCGGTCCCGGAGAAAGGGTCGGAACTTCCACGGGGTCGATGTTATGAACGAATTGTGGCGTCGGGTGTCTGGGCACCAGGCGCAGGGGGGGGGGTCCTCTCTGAAGCCGTCGCCGAATCCGCCGACCCCCGCTTGGTGGGGGTGAGGATGCGTGCAAGACGATTGGCTGACCCCCGGCCCCCCGTCCCCCTCCACTACAGGGTCCAAACTCCAGCCTGCCCCCGAGGGGGAGGGGGGGGAACGGGCTCCCTGGGGCACCCCGGAGACTCCGGAGTTTCCAGCTCTACCTCCCGTGGCCTCACGGACGCCCCAAGACGGTCACGAATCGCGGAACGGCTGGCCCAAGACGCCTACGATGGCTCCAGGACGCCCCAAGATGCCCTCGGGGCGCCCAAGCAGCCTTCCCATGAGGGCCCCGAGAGGCATACATGCTTTTCCCGGGGCTTTTCTTTGTTTCTGGGGTTATCGCCTTCCCGACCTTCCGACGCTCGAAGACTGCTCAAGAGGCCTTGCAGACAGCCCCAAAACTGCCAGAGGGGCCCCGAAAGGGACCCCAAGACGGCCCAAGAGAGTTCCAAGACGGCCCAAAGAGGAGGCCAAGAGAGGCGAAGGGGGAGAGCACGAATCGAAAGTCTTATCCTTCCGCCCCAAGATGCCCCCCACAGGACCCAAGCCCCCAAGCGGCCCAAAAGAGGCCACCCATAAGCCACAAGAGGCCCCCAAGAGGCAAAATATTGCGGCCCCAAACGCGCTTCGAAACTGCATCCAAGAGGCCCCCCCAGGCCCAGCTCCCAAGACGCCCACAAGAATCCCAGAATCCCTACACGGTGCCCAAGAAGCCCACGAGACCTCAACCGTGGACTCCACGCCTCTTCTGGGGGTCGGCGGAATTGCGCAAGCCTCTTGAATCGGACTTCTATCAAACGCTAAGTGCAGCTCAGTAGTGCGAACGTCCTTGGCGGATTCAAACTGCAACCCAAAGATATGCTGCGGAACGGGAGAGACGCTGGCGAGGACATCCCCAATGCCTCCGCAACCGCAGGAAGGCTCCCTGCATCAATTCAACAAGACCGGGCGCCCGTCACACGGGGAAGATTCCCCAGACATGCGACGTCCTGATCTGCTAAATACTTTTTTTTGGTCGGCGGCTCCAAGGCAACGGTCATGGAGCGGAAGCGGCGTCCGGGTCACGGTGCGGGGCTAATTTGCAAGACAATTGGCCGCCAGAGCCGGCGAACAAAGCTCGCACCGCAAGCTGAGTTGCTAAATACGCGGGCCCTGGAAATCCCGACCCTTTCCCGCGACCGGCCTCTTATCACATCCGGGGTCCTTTTTTGACGCTCCCGGGGCCTGGCGAGGGCCCCCGGAGGCCGAAGGCCAGGAAAAACCTCCGTCCAGATTTTTGTGCGGCGCGATCATGTCTGGGTCTCCTCCGTTCCGTTGCCGTGTGGAGGCGAACCACCCCCGAAACAGCGAGCGTGGCACCCTCCTGCCGACGCCCTCGTGGCCCGAGGGGGAGCGCGCTCCGGGCTGTGCCACGGGCGTGGGGGGGGGTACCGCGCGGAGCCCCGCCGGGGGTCAGCAACGCATCGGCAAGTCGGATCGAATCGAGATATGTATCGGACCTCATGTTGCAACCGCGGGGGACCTTGTCTGTCCCGTCGCGGCTGCGCCGGCACGTTATGTTGCATCCTCGGGGGACCTCGTCTGTCCCGTCGCGGCCCGATCCGCGTCGAATCCGTGTCGAATCCACGTCGGCCTCGCAGGATCCGTGTCGAATCTGTGTCGAATCTGCGTCGAATCCACGGTGAATCCGAG